TGATTTTAATAAGTCTTTGTTTAATCCACTTCATAAACCGTTTTATAACCAAGTGGACATAGATATATACGAAGAGGCGAAAACCATAGTGCCTGTAGGTATGTTTGTATCACATAAGTTTTCGGATACGATGCCGAAAGTGGAACTGGATATGTCCAAAGCATTTACTAAATCGTTTATGGATATTGTGGAGACATTCGGTTTTAATCAGTTTGACGTGTGGCAACCATATACAGAACAAATGGATTTTAACAAAATGCACGATTACACCTTATATTATGTTCAGAACACGGGCGAGAAAATTAATATAATGTTAAGCAAGAAGTTTTGTCTCTTATACGGTTTGTATTTAAAGCAGTTGGACGCATCACAAATCAAAACCATAAGTTATAAACAACCTTCATTCCAGCATTCTGTGAATTATAAAAACATAGTCGGGGAGTTATGGGACAAAAAAAATAAGTGAAAACGACGAGGAGGACATGGCAATTAAAAAACAGGTGGCGGTGGTGAATTTTGGACTTTTAGAAAGAACCAACAGCACCGACCAAAAAAGCATACTGTTTAAAAATCTAAAGGAGGCATCGGATTTTCAACAAAAATACGGAGAAAAATACACAAACTAACAGAAGAAGAAGTTAAGTTTTATGAAATGGACGACGAGGAATGCACCGAATGGAACGAAATATCAGATGGTGAGTCATATTACATAGTAAATATATCCGATAACACGAAATTGGCAAATGGGTTCGTTTATATAAAGGAAGTGCTACTGCAACAGCATAACTTTAATATGTATCAGTGTTATAACAGATTACTTAAACGCGGTGTTAAACCTTATAGTGTCAAAACCGATGCATTTGTTATAAACGCCGAAGACCTGCCCACAGCAAAAGAAGCACTGGGAATTAAATCGGGGGAATCTACAAAGTGCATAGGTCAATGGAGAGTAAATAAAAGCAACGACGATATAATTATGCCCAGCGAGGACTATCACATAAAAAAACAAAGGAATCAAAATACCGGTGTATATAAACAAGAAGATAGACATACAAAACGAATACGACACAACGAAAATCATAGAGAATATTTTTCAGTAAAGCACGTGACGATTAGGGCGAAATATGCCGGTTCTGGTAAAAGTTATATATGCGAAAAAATCAGGGACTTAGGTTTAAAAGTGCTGTTCGTGTGTCCCACTAATAAACTGGTTCAAAAATACGGAAAGGATGCCACGACAATTAACAAATTCTTTTCCATAGCAGTGGGCGACGAAAAATTAGAAAAGTTTGACTATTCTAATTATGATGTTATAGTGTTTGACGAGATTTATTTTAACGGGTTAAGGGTTTTGAATAAAATTAGGGAGTTCGTCGAAACACATAAGGATTTAACGGTGGTGGCAACCGGCGACGGTAAGCAGTTAAAACCCGTTTCGGAAATAACTAACCTACACGACCACGAAGTATATGCAAACCACTGCATAAACAAAATATTTAAATATCATATTTATTTACGGGAGTGTAAGCGGTTAACAACTCAGGAGGACAAAGACAAATTAGCAAACATATACGACGACATATTTATAAACAAAGTTAAAACGAAACAGTTGATAGAAAAATACTTCAAATACACCGACGACATACAAACAAACAATAACAACATAGCATACTTAAACGATACGTGCAAGGAGGTAAGCAACGAAATAAGGAGGTGCCAGAATCACAAAAACGAATATGACATAGGCGAGGTGGTTATATGCAGGGAGTATTTAAAAACAACCGAATATAAATTTCAAGTTAATTTTAGATACATTATTCATGAGATTAACGGCGATAAGTGAAACTAAAAGAGGAACACGAAGGATTTATACAAACCCTACCCATTGATGTTTTAAGGAAGCACTTTATATTTAGTTACTGTTATACCTGCCATAGCGTGCAGGGTTCCAGCATAAACACGGGTATAACAATCTTTGATTATCATCATTTCAATATTTCTAAGGAGTGGTTATGGACGGCAATCACGAGAGCAACCGATTTAAATAAGGTCAGTCTTTACAGGTATGATGATAATAAAGATACTACATTTAATAAACAATGTATCTTTAAATATTTAGAGCGCAAGGTGCAGAACTACAAAGAACAGGACAGGGCAGGCAAAAGAAAGATAGACCATAAGAATTACATAACTGCCCAATGGATGTTAGATAGGTTAAACGGTTTCTGTGAAAAGCGCAGTGTAGAATTTTATGTTAAGTTAAAAAGCGGAAACATAACAACGAATCTAACAGCACAAAGGAAAGATAATTCACAGAGTCATACCATAAGCAACTGCATAGCATACTGTAAGAAATGCAACTGCGCGGCAAGCGATAAGGAACAATTTTAAGAATAAAAGTTTTAAAAATAATGTTTAGTATTTTATATGACTGAAGGTTTGGAAGACACACTTAACGACATCAACAACACCTTAGAAAATATTAATAACAAAATAGAAGAAATACACAACAAACTATTTACACCAGTCCCCAGCACCACAACAAAATCAAAAGATACAACATATCAAAATAAAAGAAAAGCGTATTTGACAAAACTAAACAACGGAGATATTACAAACCCAAAACCAACAACGATGGAATACTACGAAATCAAAAAGGACGGCGATGTTTATGTATAAAAAAAGTTTTAAAAGTTTTAAAAAATATATAGTTTATAATATATGACCGTTCACGACGAACTGTTTGAGATACAATACAGAGTAGCAAAGCACGAATTAAAAAAATTAGAAATCATCAATGAAAGCAGGGAAAGCAAGATTGTAGAAATAAAGCAAAAATGCGTAATAGAAAAAGAAGAGCAAGAACATTTTGATAAAGAAATCAGATATTTAGATAAACAGTTTTCATTACAGAAGGACATAATCAAATTGTATGAGGTTAAGTACAAATATTACCAATGATAATTCTATTCAACGACAAAGAACATTGAGCAGAATTTTCAATTTAAAAAATCGTGAATTTCGGGTTTGTGAGTTAGGGGGTGGTTTTGAAAGTTGGTTTGGGATTCAGATGTTGGGAATTTTCGGTTTACTGTTGGTTAAATTGGGTGAGGCGAGGATGTCAAATTCGGTGTTTTTCGGTGGTAAAGTTGTAAAGTGTAGGGTGGGGTACAGGGATTTTTCGGTTGAGGCGTTGGGGCGTAGCATGGGAAAAGGGGGATGCCCCCCCCCCTAACTGTGGCTGTTTGGGAGCCTTACCGCAGAGCATCTCGAAATGACAAGAATGACGAGAATGACAAGTCTCAAGGGCCCCCAAAAAAAATAAATAATTAAAATAATTAATTATTTGGCCTCAATGCCCGGCAAGTCGTAGCATGACTTTTGGACTCCACCCCGAGGAGCCAATTAATTAATTATTTGATTATTTATTTTTTGGGGGGCCCTGAGACCTGTCATTTTTGTCATTCTTGTCATTTCGGAAGGTTGCGGTAAGACACAGAAAACGGTTACGATTCGCGGCGTTTTGGAGCCTTACCGGACAGCATCTCGAAATGACAAGAATGACAAGAATGACACGCTCCAGGCCGGCCCAAAAATAGATTATAAATAAATAATTAACCAATCCCCCTCGCCTCTATTCCCGGCAAGTCGCAGGGCACTCACAGGGCAGCCTAGTGGGGATTAAGGGTTTCTAGCGGTTCGGGTGCTGGGGTTCGGGAGTTAGGGACAACCCAAACTCGCTCGCAAGGCGCTTGCAGGGCACTCGCACACCACTCGCACGACACTCGCAGGGGCAGCCTAGTGGGGGGTTAAGGGTTCTAGGGGTTCGGGCGCTGGGGTTCGGGAGTTAGGAACAACCGGGGGAAGCACACGCACTCATGGCAAGGCACTCACAGGGCAGCCTAAAGGGCTAGGGGTTCTAGGGGGTTCGGACTTCAAGGAGGTTCGGGACTGAGGGACAACCGTGGAACCCAACATCCACTCTGTGGCCCGACAACTTCTCCTCGGATGGACCTGCACAACAGCTGCTTCGAAAAAAACGACTACACAGGCGATGACACTCCTTCATGGCCTCGTCTTCGGCATCGGGTCCAGCCCGCCCCCCGGCCCAGGAAAAAAACAAAGAACCACTGACCGACAAGCACGAACACACACACACACACACACACACTCACTCAGCCCTCAAGCATGCTGCGCGCTCAGATGCAGTCACTTGCACTCCACGGCCTTCGGTGGTTTTTTGTGGCACCCCTCTCGATGCTGTGCAACGTCGGCCGGTCGGCCGCGTCCCCGCATCAAGCGTGCATCGGGATCTTCCGAGACTGGCCAGACCGGGCCCTCGCCCCCGGGTCGCCCTCCTTGCCCCACTCACGCCCTTTTCCACGCATTTAGGGTTTCCAAACAGAGATTGTTTACAAATTCCAAATATTGCTTGCAAGGCAGACTTGAAGTGCTTGTTTACTACATGTATGTGTTGAACCGGCCCTGACCCTAAGTCGCCTAGGCATCTAGATACGATGCTGTCTGACTCTAAGTAACCCAAACAATTGTGCAAGGAGGGTGGACCATCCGGGCTCATCCGCTGCTCACGGCGGCGGTCGACTGTGTCGGCTCCTTGCCACCGCAGGGCACTCACAGGGCAGCCTAGTAAGGTTCAGGGTTCTGGAGGATTCGGGCGCTGAGGGGCCGGACTTAGGGATAACCGGGGACCTGCACGACACGAGAGCTTAATCTAAACTTTAAACGTGGTGTGGCCAGGAATTAGGGACATCTTGGCTGCAGTCATCTAGTTCACTACAGCAGTGACCTAGATCGCTAATGCCGCCGATCTAAGCCCGCCACTTGCAGCAAAACTGACCACACCGAAGACTGGCATGATGCACATCGCAAACCTTGACATGTGAAACTGGGAGAGACCGTGCAAAAGGATATGCAGAGCCAGATGGTGCCTGCACAGCACTGATTCTCCGATTCCTTCACAAATCACATCGCCCGGCCTTTCAAGTTGCCGGTCGCGGCAAAAAGCCGTAGCAATCTAGCCTAGCAGTGCTGCCGTCACGTGGAAGTCAAATGGCCGATCACAGAGCCGAGGGTTGGGCCTGGTGGTGTCCCGACGCAGGACTTCCGATTCGTCTTCGATGCGTCGCCACGCTCCAGCCTGCCAAAATCGGAAGCCAGGAATGAGCCAACAGAAAAAAGCAGTCTGGGGCTCCGCGCTTCTTTTGAGTAGAGATATACGTCAATTTGATCAGGATCAACGTCTCGTAGGGCGTTAGACTTCCTCTGCTTGATGGCCTCGTGAACTGGGGCAAATGTCGGGCCATGAGCAAAGGAAACATGCCGAGGCCGGGTCTGTTTTCAAATCGTCCACATTATTGAGTCTCGAGCCTGGGTGGTCCTGCTGACACGCGATCGCCAACTCCACTTTCCACTTGACATGGTTCGGCGAAGATGGCCTGAGGGGACACCTGGAACGCCGGCTCGAGCTCATCCTCGCCCTCTTGACGAGACCTTATCTGCGCAGAGGCGCTCCTCCAAAACGACCGGCAATCGGAATCCTCCTTGGGCCTCAGCTTGGCGGTGACCGTCCCATCCTGCGCGGCGAGTGGTGTCCAAACTCCCAGCCCCGAACCGCCTCCCGAACCGCCTCCCCGACGTGTCATGCTCCGCCCCTGCCGACGCTCAGAAACACTCCAGCAATCCGGAGCCCCTCGCCCACACCCCGCGCCAGGGCCCGCCAAGCCGGCCAAGAACTCAACGACAGGGCTAACACCGGGTGCGCTCACAACACTGTCCTTGTTCCGGGCCAGCTCCCGCACCCAGACGACGGGCTCAGAGGTCTTGCCTCACAGAACGCCGAAGGCTGGTATCTGTAATCCTCCAGCGTACATAGACACACGTCTTAGCACCTGGAGCAACGGTCTCAAACCTTGCAACTTCTGAAACACCGAAGCAGAGAACGGTGACAGACAAAACAAAACCATACTACCAGACTTCTCAGCCAGCGTTTTTGGTTTGTGGTGAGTATGCAACATGCTTGCGAAAGAAGGCATTGTCGCATGTCGAACATGGCCTGCGCGAGGACGTCTCTCTTGCAAGCTCATTAGCCGATCTGGACGAAGGGGCCCCACACGTTGAAGTACATGGGTCGCAAACCCGTAATCTGGCGCTGTCTCGATCAGGATCTCCTGCGCTCGCTCAGCCACCTGGTCCAGCCCTGGGTGTGCCGAGAACGAACGGGCAAGTTCGGACAGCGACTTCGCTGTGGCATTTGCGCCAAGCTCCTGTAGGCGACCCACACCAGCCATGAGCGTGTCGGTGAGCTGTCTGAAAAACATTTCGCCACCAGTCCGCCCTCCGAAGTCCAGCCATGCGAATATTTTGTTACCGTATTGGTCGAGTTTGAGCACGATATTTCCCATATGGCAATCGAAGCACAAGCCCATGCTGGCCATCACTGCTATATCAGTGAGGAAGCCCCAGATAAAGAGGACTGTCTCTGCATGCGTTAAATCTGAAAGATCCAGACGGGCGAACTCTTGAAGGACCGAAACCCGCAAGCGAAGAGCGCCTTGAAGGTCCGTTCTCTCTTGATTCTTCGCCTTCAACACCTCCAGGCTGCCGGAATGCTCGACGCAGAGCTCACACTCTGCTGCGATTGGCACGACTAAAAACATTAGCTTTGTCGTGCTGACTCTCTGCCGCCACAACCCTTCACTCTTGATTTCAACGTCGTTTGTAAATCTGCGCACGGATGGTGCTGTAGCTTGAAGGCTGTAGTAGAGGCTGGCATGCACCCACTCGTCCTCAAGTGAAATTGGTTGCTGAAATTTCTGCTGAAGGCTTTGCAAGCTTTGCGACTGGTACAAATGCTCTTCCACCGGCCACTCTTTTGGACTGATTGGAGCCATGCGAAGCGCCACGGGGAACGAATAAGGACAATCCCAAAACGTCACGAAAGCTGTCCCACCGGCAACAACTTTCGATGGCTTGTGCAGGCGCAGGTAGCAAGCTTGCGTCCAGGAATCCAATGCTTGGCATGAACTCAAAGGACAGACCGTAGCCTTGCCAAACGTTCCAAACAGCATTGAAGTAATAGAGATGTACGCCATCCAAGCCATTTTATCAACGACAGATGGAGTTAAGCCAGGCGAAAGCGACAGTTGACAATGGAACAAAATTGATTGCATTGGCTGCATTGGCTTCAATGTCTTGCTGTGTTCAAGCACGACGTGCAAGTTAGACCTTCATTTGAGCCAGAAGAAGGTCTGCCGCTCCCAGGTAGCTCCTTCTGGCCAATCAACTCACACAGCGGCTGATTGCGCAGTGTATGTACTGCAGATTTCACGCTTGCAGAAGTGTCACATGCTGATCTTAAACCAAGCTTTTTACAGGCTGTGGTGGGTAAAATTTGCAGTTCCTCATGGTCATGGATATCATAACCACCGAAGAAGAACATCCCTCAAAACAAGCGACTGCAAACAAGAAACCAGGCTTGAGTGGTTTTAGAAGGCCGGTGGATACCCAGGGTGTTTTGACGAAGCCTGTAAGACTGCTCAAAAAACCCGCCCAAGACTGAGCGGGTGCGGCGACGACGCACTCGGACGCTCGATGGCGCACTCGGCTCGGACGATGACCTCGACGGACGACGCTCGGCTCGGACGACGCTGTGACGACGGTGACGGCGGCGGCGACAATAAGTTGCAGGGCCCATGGCAAAGCATTCGCAAGGTTAGGGTGCCCTGAGCCAAAAACCACACCCAAAAAATAAGAAGAAAGCATTCAAGCCAAATGGTATTGCGAAAATCGGCGAGCCTAACGAAACTACGGCTACCAAGCTAAAAAATAACATCACCGAGCAAAAAATCCATGAACATGCCGCCGCTCCGAGCCAAACCCCCTTGCGCCCCGACACCCAAAAAAGAGGCGAGACAGGCGAGACATTGAGATAAACTCCCTTTCTATCAGCCCGGCCCTTCAGAGAGACGAGGGAGACAAACGAGACATTGAGACAAACTCCCTTCTACCAGCCGGGCATTTCCAGGAGACAAGCGAGACATTGAGACAAACTCGCTTCTACCAACCCCGGCCCCCCAGACTGACGAGGGAGACAAGCAAGACAAACTGCCTTCTACCAGCCCGGCCCTCCAGAAGGACGAGGGAGACAAACGAGACATTGAGACAACCGCTTTGTCTCGTTGCTCGCTTGTCTCACCAGGATCTGTCTCGCCGACAGGCCCACGGCCCCAATCGTGCTCATCCTAAACCCCCACGGATCAAGTCGGTGACGGCCCACAGGCTCGCCGCCAGCGCCCGAAGCCACGAAATCTTCGGCCGAACCTGGGGGACGTACCCGCCGAAATCGCGCGCTCGCCACAAAGCTTCCAAGAAGCTTTTTGTTTGCCCTGCACGGGCCTTCTCGGGGCTGGCTGTGCCGCTTTTGGCGGGCCCGGCAGGGTTCGCGAAACATAGGCAGGGCGCACCTCCAAAATCAGAAGCACGCCCGCTGCGTGAGGCCCGGCGAGTCCGTGTGGCTGTGTTCGACCCATCCTAAACCCTCCCCGACCACGTTCCGGGCTTGCCGGCACCGATTCGGCAGGGAATCCGCGATTCGAACGGAATCGTGTTCAAAACCTAGGCAGGGTGCACTCCGAAATCCGGGGTTGCATCCATGCGTGGTCGTCTCGCAAAACGGGCGGCGCTGGGGGGTCGTTGCGCCACACCCTCGCCGGGCGGGTCCAAAATCCGAAAAAATTGGGGTGCGGCATGGTGTTTTAGGGGCATGGGTGTTTTTGGGTGATAAATGGTGTCAATGTCAAAAAAATGGATTTGGCGTGCCGGAACACCACGGAGGAGCCCAGCGAAGCCAATCTCGTGCGGCTGCTGGACCTGTGGTCGGCGGACTGGAAGCACCGGGGCCGCACCCGGGCGGTGGGGCCGCGGGCGTCGAGAGATACGCTACGCTGGGGCTGTTCGGACACGGCGGGGTGGTCGGGGTCTCCAATGCAACGGCCTACGGGAGGCCTGCGCGGCCGTGAATTGCTTTCTTAAGAGCCGCTTTCCGAGCGGCACCTGGACGTCCATCGCCGTGCTCTTCAATCCGCGCATGGGCCTGCACCGCGACATTCAGAACATGCCAGAGCACTTGAATCATGCACAGGGTCTGGGGGATTTCAGATCGAAGACGATGAAGGGGACTCGACGGCCTGGCTGGCCGACAAAAAGGGGGAACGAGAGCTGCGGGGTGGCTGGACATGCACGACAAACCTGTCAGCTTCGACGCCCGGCGCTATCACATGGTGGAACCGCACGAGGGCCGCATGTGGGCGCTCGCAGCTTATGTTCCGCAAGCCTATGTTCGGGCGACCGAGCAGCACCGAGAAGCGCTGAGAGAAGCGGGCTTTCCGCTGCCTCCGTGACATCCTGAATTTGGTGGAGGCATGTGTCAAAAACTGATACATGGGTGTGTCCAACTGCGGGCCAACTGCGGGCCAAGAAGCTTTACCGCAAAAAACATCTCGAAATGACAAGAATGACAAGAATGACAAGGTCCACCCGGCCCGAAAAATAATTAATTAATGAATATTCGTCGTGAAGTTAACTCGAAGTGAACTTCACGAACTTGGAAGTGAATCACCAACTTCGATCTTCCAGGCATCGAGGCAATAATTAATTATTTAATTAGTTTTTTTTCGCGCCAGCTGGAGCTTGTGATTTTTGTCATTCCTGTCATTCCTCCGGCTTGTACCCGGAGGAAGTAAAAAAAAAAAAAAAAAGCTTTTTCGCGAACTTCGACCTTCCAGGCGTCGAGGCAATAATTGATTATTTAAGTATTTATTTTTTTCGGGGCGGCTGGGACTTGTCATTCTTGTCATTCCTTTGGCTTCTACCCGGAGGAAGTAAATAAAAGAGCTTTTTCGCGAACTTCGACCTTCCAGGCATCGAAGCAATAATTAATTATTTAATTATTTATTTTTTTCGGAGCGGCTGGAGCTTGTCATTTTTGTCATTCTTGTCATTCCTCTGGCTTGTACCCGGAGGAAGTCAAAAATAGAGCTTTTCGCGAACTTCGACCTTCCAGGCATCGAGGCAATATTTAATTATTTAATTATTTATTTTTTTTCGGAGCGGCTGGAGCTTGTCATTTTTGTCATTCTTCTCATTCCTCTGGCTTGTACCCGGAGGAAGTAAAAAAAAGAGCTTTTTTCGCTCTCTCTGGGGAAGGTGTTCCGGCACTCCACTCTGTGATAGCTACAAGCCTTAGTTCGAGACATAGGTCAGAATTCGGTACTTTGGAGCACTGTCGCGAATCGCAGCTCTGACGATCTTAGGGGCTCTAAAGTCTTTGCAAAACGGGCTTTAGAGGAACTTTAAGGGCGCGCCACTTGCCAGCAGCTGACGAGCACTCGCCAGCAGCTTACGAGCTACTTGCTGGCAACTCACGAGCAGTCGCCAGCAGCTCACGAGCTACATACTGGCAACTTACGAGCACTCGCCAGCAGCTCACGAGCGACTTCCGAACCGCAACTCAGCGACTCTTGAACCGCAACTCAGCGACTCTTGAACCGCAACACGGCGACTTTCGAACCGCAACTCAGCGACTCTTGAACCGCAACACGGCGACTCTTGAACCGCAACTCAGCAACTCTTGAACCGCAACACGGCGACTCTTGAACCGCAACTCAGCAACTCTTGAACCGCAACACGGCGACTCTTGAACCGCAACTCAGCAACTCGAACTACTCCCACGCCCTCCGCGCCGAACAGACTCGCGCGCCTCTCTCTGGGGAGGGTGTTCCAGCGCTCCACTCTGTGATAGCTACAAGCCTTACTTCGAGACATAGGTCAGAATTCGATACTTTGGAGCACTATCGATTCGCGGGCCTACGGCCCGCAGCTCTGACGATCTTAGGGGCTCTAAAGTCTTTGCAAAACGGGCTTTGGAGGAACTTTAAGGGCGCGCCTCTTGCCAGCAGCTGACGAGCACTCGCCAGCAGCTTACGAGCTGCTTGCTGGCAACTTACGAGCACTCGCCAGCAGCTCACGAGCTGCTTGCTGGCAACTTACGAGCACTCGCCAGCAGCTCACGAGCTACTTGCCGGCAGCTCACAAGCGACCTACGAGCGACTTACCAGCTGCAGCCCAGCAGCCGACGAGCGACTTACGAGCTGCAGCCCAACAGCTCACGAGCGGCTCGGAGGATTTATTTTTATAAAAAAAATAAATGCCTCAATCCCGGGGTCTGGCATCGAGGCATTTAGGTTTTATATAAAAAATAAAGCCTCCGAGCCGGCCGGCTGTAGAGCTGCAGCCCAGCAGCTCGCGAGCGACCTACGAGCTGCTTCCAAGTCCCCGCGCCAACAGAGCGCGCATAAGCGCGCGTCGCTTCCCAAACAGCTCCGAACAGCTCGCGAACCCCCTTCGCGTCTTCAAACTGCCTCCGATGCCGCGCGCGCCCGTTTTGCAAGCACTTTAGAGCCCCTAAGATTGCGAGCCGTACGGCCTCCAGCCCTCAAAATCGACAGACCCTCCGAGTATCGAATTCTACCCCATGTCTAGAAACTAGCCTCGTAGCTACTACAGAGTAGGGAACTGGAACACCCTCCCCAGAGAGAGAAAAAAAAACTATCCTACTCTACTCTATCGAGGACCTCACCCGACTGAAGGGAAACACGCACCCTCTCCTTGTCGCTCCAGACCTTTGCGACGAAGAGAGCCATAGAAGCGACGAAATCCAGGTCGTGAAGCTGCAGCAGAGATGTGGACCCGAACGACGCATTGACGCCAGAGTCCCTCAAGTTGTCAGTAACACGCGGCTTTTCTCGCTTCTCCCTGCAAGAGCAAAAATCTTTGGCTTGGAGTCCACTGGCTGGTTCCCAACCTCTCTGTCACTTTCTCCTCGCAATCAAACGGCCCCTCGAGAAAACCCAATCGGCATTCTTCGTCTGTCTCATCATTCAAGATGGTCAGCTCCTCCTGCGACAACTTTTGAGGCGGCTTTGAGAGGAGCTCACGGCGCCTCCAAATGGCCTGTGAATCAAGCTGCTCGGGAGTGGCCCTCATGGGCTTGGGCCTGGTCGGAAACAAAGGAGAAGGAGCCTCGGCCCCTACAAGAGACACTCCCTCTTCCATGAAGCGGCAGACCTCCTTATCCGGAAAACCAGTTTCCTCGATCAACTCTCGGAAGAGCTGAAGACACTTGCCACCCGTGATGGGGTGGTCTTCGCTGGTCCCAAGCTCATTTGCCCTCGCCTCAATGTTCGAAAGGGTCTCATGCCTCATCTTCGCAATCTCCTCTGGGCCCTTGGTAGCCAGGTCGAATATCGCCCTTCTTATGCAATCGGGGACGGTGCTTGACGACTCAGCGGGATGCTCCAGTTTGGTTGCCAGATCAAAGTGTTCCTGCATCGTGTGATACACGCCCCAAGCCTTACTGGGACTCGGGGTGAAGACTGGTCCTCCAACCTCGCCTTCCCCCGCCAAATTGGAGGGGCAGTCAGAGAGGCCGGGCCAGGCAAAGTGCAGATCACGAAGAACCGCCAAATCACGGGGCGGAAGATTGCGCCAGTCACGAACCGTGAATGCCACCAAGACTGTGCGGCGACCCTGGGCCGGCATAGCCTTGTGCGGCAAGCTGGTCTGAAGCAAGCATGGCTCTGCATGAACAGGCAAGGTTTGACCCTTCACACGCACACCGCCGTTGGAAAAGCGGGAGAGCGGAATGATGACATTGTAGAACTGGTGGTCGTTGTGAGCATCAACATGTTCAGGGCCGTAGAAGTTGTCGAAGACGGCCAAAGAAGTGTACACGGCACCCGGGGCGAAGTGCTGAACAGTAGCCGCGAGAAGGCGGCACACGTGCGGCATAGACCGAGACACACTGTGAAGGCCCACCTGGGAAGAGAAAACGTAGGCACCACAAGTCCATGCCAAGCCTTCAGCGGTCGCCCCACGGCGGGAGCGCAGAGAGGGCTCCAAGAGGTTGACAAGTTGCAAAACATCATCCTGCGTGCAAGTCTCCTGCTGGAGCAACGACCAAGCAAGCTTCTCGACCGCAGGGGCATCGAGAGGAGCGGGAGAGTCCACAGGGGCCTGGCCAGGGAGCACAGGCCATGAAGGTCTAGCAGAGCATCCAGCCGAGGCGCCATCCTTGGGAGGCATCATGTCGGGCAAAGGTTTGGCATCGGGATTGGGCGCCCGGTCGGCCCAAACAATCTGACGGAACTCAGGGATCAGGGAGGCATGCTTTAGGGTCTGGGCGCCGGCAGCAGCAAGCGTGTCCAACCTGAATTGCCGAGTGGTCTCACGGAACAGAGCCGGACTCACAGCAGCAGATGCCGCCCGTACGAGCTTTCGGCAAAAGACATGAGGGTATTGCGTTTGAGACGATGTACCGAAGACCCAAGTACCCATACGCATCTTTTGCCCATACGGAACATGAGAATGCTTCCCGTCGCAGGGGACCGAAAGAACCTCGAAGACCTTCGGCGTGCAGCGAAGGCGCGTGTCCTTGCGGCGATTTCCGCCAAACATGCAAAGGGAGAGCGACACGTCCTGAAGCTCGAAGTACCAATCAGCGAAGGCGGGACAAGAATTGTCCCGTGCAAACTGGCAGATCAAAGCAGCGAGAGCGGCCCATGTCCAGGCCCGCGCAGGGTTTTCGATGGTCACCAAGGCGTTGACCTTCCAAGCAGCAAACAGGGCCCGCACACAAGTGCTATACACAGCGTTGGCAGCCTCGACCCGGAGGCGTTCATGGGGCTTAAGATCAGGTAAGCCCAGAGGGAACTTGGCAGATCGGAGCGGTCGGGGCTGTGGCACGCCCTGCGCCCGCAACGCAGAACTGATGGGCAGCTGACGAGCGCGACTTCCAGTGCCACACGGCAATCCGAAGTGTAGCCAGAGGGGCCTGAGCTGATGAATCATATCGTCGATCAAGCGGTGCGAAGAAAGTGTGCCCAAATCGATGGGCAGGCACGACACTTTGGGCTCAAAACGGTTTCCATGATGATCAATAGGAAAAACCTGCCATCCCTGAGAGGCGGCAGCATGTGAAAGAGAGGCCGAGCCACAACACAGCTCGACGAAAATTGCAAAGGGAGCGGCGTCAGTGGTAGGCAGGCCTGAGCTGCCTAGTCAAGAGTGACGGCACTCGCAGTACGGCACTCCTTTCTTGAGGCAGTCCTTATGCCAACAATTGTGCAAGCCACGGTCGCATCGGGCTTTGGACTGATCAGGGCATTTGCCGTGCTGAAACAACACGCATAAGAACTGGCGAGTCTTGGGCATGCGCGAGACACAGTCCTTCGGCATCTCCTTGAGCAGCTGCAGGATCTCGGGGTCCACTTGAGCATCATCCCACTTGCGCTTCTGACCGCCTTTGTCGCCACGACCTTTGCCGCGACCACCACGGCCCTTGCCTTCGCGGTCACCTTTGCCATCGGCCTTGCCACCGCGATCGCCCTTGTCGCCTTTGCCTCCACCGGTGGCCTGCGGGAGGTTGGCCAAGCAAACATTGACACGAGTATGGGTTTGCAGGCGCTCGATGAAGACATCCAAGGGGGGCTTGACGCCCCCGATGACCTTGATGGAGCCACGACTTTCTTGAGCAAGGATCTGCCACAGCTCACGGTCAGCGTTCAGAGCCTGAGCAACGCTGGTGAACTTGTGACCAGGTGGAGGGTCACGAGTCACTGAGTCGAACAAGTAGGTGTGCCACGCCTCGTGGGCAGCAAACGACATGAGACCGATTTGGTCGAAGGCCAGCGCCCGTCGGGTGAAGGCCTCCCGAAGTCGAAGTTCTCCTCGAACGTCGCATTCCAGGTCGGCGTGTTTCTTCGATATTTTCAAGCCGCCTTGAGCATCAAGCGTAACTTGTTGAGAAGGTTTGTCACTGGAAATTTCCAACGCTCTGGATGGGCACTTGTGCGGCGGTAGGTATGTGAGCGTCCCGGAATCGACCATGGATTGGATTTTGTCGATGAGGCTATGTGCCGGTTCCACCCGTTCGGTGAACACAATCCCTGATAGCCGAGCCTTTTGATTCTGTAGGCGAGTCAAGCGCTCGGCCAAAGGAAGCTCCCGAGGAGGATCAAGAGAAGATCGTTCCACCCGTGACTTGAGATCAGACAAGGCAAACGTGTTGGCCTCGAACCACAATCGTCGAAGGTCAGGAAGCTCGCCCGGGGTGAGGTCGCGAGACAGGATCTTCTGTACCGCCTGGATAAGAGGAGTGTCATCACCACTCTGTGGGCTGACAGCACAGATGTACGCCAGCTTTCCAAAGGTTTTGATCCCTGCGGCTTGAAGCGACTTAACGAAAGCATCATCCATACCGATTTCTCTGGCTCTGGCCAAGAACTCGGCTTCCGACTCAAGCAGAGTGGAAGTCATGGCGTCCGTCCGAGGATCAAGCTTGAACAAAACGCGTCACTCTAGGTGAAGGCTCACGACGGAGGCAACAAGCAAGGCTATAACACAGATGCGCAGCATCGATGTTTGCGTCTCTGCTCGACCTTTCCGTGTCTAATCCCCCTGGACTCGCGCCAATCTGCACTGTTCGCAGAAGATATCCTCGCGCGGCTGCTGGGGGTCGAAACTGCACGCGTCATAGTTGCTGTTCAGGGGTCTCCCGCATCTCAGCAGCGAGGCAGGGACCATGACAGCGTGCACAATGGATGAGATCCGATGCCGGACGAAGGTGCCAGTCTCTGGCGGCTCAGGGCGATCAGACATCCCTGGCACCAGGCTGGGGGGCTCATCGATGCCGACGTGGTCTTCAAATGATACATCTGACTGTTCAGAATCGTCAAACCTTTTCAGGTCTTCGACCCGACGATCCTCATCGTGGAGTCGTTCCACAATGTTCGCCATCCTCTCAGACCTGGACAAGTCTGGATCAAACCTGTCTGTACGGATCAAGTCAATCAGATGCTGAAGCTTCGACAAGACGGGGGCCATCACATCTCTCCCGTAGGTGATGATCATCCGCTCGTCGGGGGCAGAGTGGTGCCCCAAAATGCGCTTCTCGTGCTTATCAAAGCGACCGCTCTTTGTGGCCCAGGACAACGGAGTGGATTTCAAGGCATGAGTCGTGACCCTGTCGAGGTTCCAAGACTCATCAGCATCTACCGCAAGAATCTCTTGAAGCCACGCACACCCTTCTGCTGAAGTCATGGGCCTATCCAGCCACATCTCGGCTTGTTCCGACCACGCTGGCATAATGATGGTTTTGGCGTCAACTCCTGATCGAGTTCGAGCCGACATCCATGCCGTGGCCCACGGCTCCGAAGAGAAAGTGTGCCCGAGGGCGATGAGGGGCATGAAAGTGGCCCGGTCGTCTGCAAGCTTGGCTGTTTTGTGACCCAGCATAACAGCCTCCACAAGACACATGGCCCCGTGGTTCTCGATGGTGAGATCGGTAGCCTTGGCCGCGTCGGACCATCGGGCAACCGAGAATAAGCAGAACAATGCGAACCCCGCGATGGTAGCGTGCAAGTCCGATCCTTCGAAGACAATCACCTCCATTCTCATGACAATGGGAACTTTCAGAGGCGGCGCCTGTCTCAATGGAGCCTTCTTGAGATAGCAGGAGTGCGCGGCACCCTCAACTCGCTGCGACATGATGTCAGGGACAGCGTTGCTGCCGGTCATGTAGTGAAAGAATCTCCATGACGAAATGAATGCAGCAGGCGCCGTAGGGGCACACTCTGCGTCTCGCAGATAGCATACATAAAGGTACAGGTCATTCTCAACAGCACGCAAAGGTCTGGCATGATTGTCCTGGACCTGCCAACGGGAGAACTTCAAGTAATCACATGATCTCTTGGAAAGAGTACTCGTAGACTTCCTGGCAAAAGCATCCATGAAGGTCATGGCAAGTTGGTGTTCTGGAACAAGCATTCCACTGGTTTCCAACAGCGATCGCCCCAGCTTAGAGTCATTGGGATCGTACAAGACGATCTCCTTAATTCGGGCCAGAGCAGCTGAACGAAGCTGATCCTCCGACCTCGCCATCCTCGTGGCGAAAAGTCGCTTGGCTCTAAAAGGGTTTTCCTTGTACCAAGTTGGATCGGAACCTGAAGACGAAGATACCGCAATCTGAGCAAACATGTCTGATCGCCCAATCGTCGGGAGATGGAATGGAAGAGCCACGAGCGGATTCCCGACACTCCCAAAAATTGCTTTGCCGAAGCCCGACTCCCAAGGGAGTCTGATCGAAGACTTCCTCTTCTCTTCGAAGAGAGCCTGTGCCACTGCCGGGTGCACAGGTGCGGGATCCTTCCAAGCGGTCCTCCTAAACTTGCTCGCACTCGGCTGGCACGGCTCAGCCGAATCGTCGACTCGTGCATCCTGATACCAACGAGCCTCATCTGAAGCCACCGGCTCCACATGCGACCATGACTCATCTCTCTCACCCTCTCCAGAATTAGACCTCACACCAAAGTCAGAGTTCCAAGGTGAGCTCACATAATCCTTGCGATCGGAGTCGTCCTGATCGAACGGTTCCTCGTCATGGCCAAACCCCTGTGACGCATCGGGTCTACCAAACATGGCTGTGCTCGGACAAAACTGCTGACCTGTATCAGTTGCAGTGGGAATCACTCGGAATCATCGTAACATGTCACAAAATGGAGAGCACAAGGATCAGTCGGACGACCTTCTTTTAAATTACTGACTTGCCGCAACATCCGCGGTCCTTCTTGGCCTCTCCTGTCCCCCGCTACAGTCAAGAGGACTGCGCAGAGGAGCGAAACGCGGGGAAAGCCTAAACCCCAAAGAACCGGGGGAGCCGGGAAACACAGGGGCATCCGGCATCTACGGGTAGAGCCTAAAGAAGCGCCTCAAGCGAACATGAGTAGTACGCGCGGCTGCCAGCAGTGCAATCCAAGCCTGCATGTCCAGGTACACAAGGGCCCAAGCGAAGCGGTAGCTGGCCGTGAAGGAGACCAGATGTCCTCGCACGATAGCATTCCAAAAAGGCCGACGGCAGGCGGCAAAGCGTCGCAATCGGACAATGTGGAAGTGAGTGAGTGAGTGAGTGAGTGAGTGAGTGTCGACCAGCACTTACGGTGCGGCCTACCTCCCACGTCCCTCTCAACATCTCAGGGGGGCTCCGCAAGCGTCATCGCCTCCCTCCGTCCCAGAGTTCAAGTGGGGGAAAAACTAGCTAGTGCAGACAGGTCACGGTGTAGAATACCAAGATACATGTTTCAAACCCAAGAATCGGAGAGGCATAGTCCTTGATCAGGGATATAGCAGGCAGGAGGCCAAGCCAGACGTCACCAACCGATAATACTTATGCTTGTATGCACCAAAGAACACACCAAGTAACCGGCAGCAGACGCAAAGAGTTGAAAGGGGGCGAACCGTGCGGCCAGTGCCGAGGGAGCGAGGCTCCATTCACAGAGGGCACACACAAGGCGACCCAAAGGCGTGCGCCATGTGTCGAGGGAACACTGTTCCAGCACCGAGGGCGAGCACGCCACCAATCAGGTACAGTAAATGAACATGCACACCACCGCGGCAATGAACAGCACAGAGGCGCAGCCCTGGAACAAGGCCGATAACAAAGGTAGCAATCCAGGGAGTTGCATATGATGAGCGTGGAATACCTCACATATACACGGAATGTCCTCAGGCCCATGATGGGTGGAGACGTCGGCATCGCCGGATCAGTTGCAACAACAGTTGAGCCAGAATACTAGAGGGCACTGTCGCCCTAGCACAGGGGAGGGGAGGAAAGGGGGTGCTCATCGGGCAAGAGCCCTTAGTGCCGCCGCCCGGGGTCCACACCTTTCCACAAGAAACCCCCGCCCCAAAGAGAGTGCTAGGCCCGGGGGGGACAATGTGGAAGAAGTATGGGCGCACTCGCACAAGGACAAATGCAGTCGGATCCCCAGAGCTGTCACTCGGCAAAGAAGAACCCGAACCAGAAGTCGAAATTGAGTCATAGGAAGATCCCCGAAGGCTGGAATCAGCCCGAGGCCGCGGCACATCCATCGGAGGCTGATCAGAAAAGGACAACGCAGTTCTACACAGACTAGGAGACTGCGTGACAACATGAGCGTGATTGACATGAGCATCATGAATCTGTCCCGACTCCGCGTCTCAGCCAACGGCCGGCACGGGCAAGATAGAATTTGCATGCCAAGGGGGTCGGGCTAGGGGCTGCAAGCAGAACAAGGCATCCGCACGGAGCTGAGACGACTCTTGTCTGATTGTTTTGCGACTCCCAGGGCCAACTCGATCACCGCTGGGCCAGCGGCTTGTGGCATTGAGACAAATGCTGGATCTACAATCTTGAAGCAAAAGTTGAATGCAGAAGAGAGCTGACAACCATCTGGGACATCAGCCAACCTTCAGCAAAACAGCCCGCATTGACAAAACCGAAGCCTCTCAGAGAAGCTCAGATCACGGGCCGCCTCGACTCAAGCGCGCCACTTCGGCACGAAGACGATCATGTTCAAGGCGCAGGCAGCCCATAGCATAAGAAAGATCAGAAAACCTCGATCGCCAACGAACCTCGCGGTCGAGGAAGCACAGGCGAAGATCCTGAAGCTCACGTTGCAAAAGCTCAAAGCGAGTCTCCAGCATCGTAGGTGTGCGCGGAGAAGAAGTGGTCGCCATCATGGAGGAGCGGGATCGCGTGGCCGGCTCTGGAGGGAGACTGCTGTCCTCAAAGACATCTTGCAGATACCCCGAAACTGGGGACTGCATGCAAGGCTGCAAGCCGCCGCCACAACTCTGCGTTTTCTTGGTCATGGTTGTAGTCCGTAGCCGCAGTTCCAGCAGAGAGCGGAACGAGTTCCCCGTCTGAGGCACCATCGAAAGCATCAGCAAGATCAGCAAGATCCAGACCACCGCCGGCATGGTCAGCCAAGCGGCCAGCATTTGTGTCCTCCAGGTCCATGTCGTCGGAGGCCAGCGAGGACTCATCGAAAGAGTCCAGCCGGCGATCACGCCGGACTTGGTGGAGCCACAAGAAGGCTCGAGCCATTGACCTGGGATCTGAAGGGAGCAGCTCTGCAGCCAGCAGCTCGCAGCCGGCAGCTGAAAAAGGGACCACAGAGCCAACGCAGAGTGCTCTGGCGCCCCTATGGCAGCTACCCCCCTCTAAAAATCAAGCTTGATGCCCGACTTCGGATGTAATCGCTTCACACAATTCCATGCGTGCATGACAGTGCAAAGCATGTAAATCAAAAAGGTCGAAACACAAATGAAATATTTCAGAATGTGTGACGACAAATTGCTTTCTCGAGCTACCACGAGGTGAAACATACAGTTCAGGGTTCGCTACGTGCCTACGCCCCACACAACAGACAGAAGTATCCGCACGCAGACACTAGACATGGGAGAAAGTTGCCCCACACCACAGTCCAACAGAAAATCGC